CGTTATTTAATTTGTTTTGGTAAAAATGAAACATTATTAATTGCTACCATAAACGTGGATGGATTTGGAAGGAAAAGCAAAGAAAATAAAAGATGGTGCACTTTTGTGGTTGGATTGTCCTTAAAAATGATAAGATAGTAGGTTAAGTTATATTTTAATAATTTTAGAAATATTCTTAACAATTAAAAGAATAAACTTATTATGACACCTGAGTGGTAAATGGTCAGGCCTTAAGTGCCCCCACTTTATGCTCGTAGGTTAGAATCCCCTTCCCCTAACCCATACTAACTCCGAACACTCTAACCATTGCCAAGTTAAAAAAAAAAAAAATTTACTTACCTCTAAGAGCGGTGGTGTTACCCGAGTGGTAAATGGTCAGACCTTAAGTGTCCGTTTCACATCCCTACCTTCCCTATCAGTGATCTTTTTACTGTTTTGTCTATGAAATATTTGTTGTCATTTTAGGCATTAGAAGGAAAAAATTGATAGATATGGGGGAATTTGTTACATAAACCAAAATCTCAAGGGAGGTAAGTGAAATTATGAAACATAAAGAGGTCTATGAGTGATATTAACAAACTTTAAGGGAGGTAAATGAAATTTACCCAAAAAAATAAAATATAGAACTGAATCAAACACAATTAACATCTTTGAATGTCTTGGTTGATTCAACAATGGCATGTATATAGAAAAATGGGTAATTAATATAAAAAAAAAACGGAATATTTATCATGTCTTTAATTAATAAGCAGATCCTAACAGAGTTTGAATTGATAAAATTCTAACTTCATGAACTCACACGATGTTTTTATTTAACTATCAAAAATTAATTAATTAATTAATTTGATTGATTTAGAATATTTCTCTTTTTGTCCTTGCTTGGCAATGCAGAACCTTTTTCTTTTCTCATTAATTAATTTTGGATCTAGTTTTTCACATCATTTTCATATAGTTTAAAAGATAGAATAAGAAAAGAAAGAAAAAGAAAAGAAAAGATAGAAGTGAATCAAGCACAAATTAATTCTCATTTTAATTTCCTTCTTAAATAAGTTTCTTTATTTGAAAAGGTTGAAGTGATATTTTGTTAACATTTGATAAAAATGTCTGTGTCAAATGTCTAATTAGTATCCCCTACGTAAATTAATCATATGCTAATGTTTTCAACTGTATATTTTTGACATGTTATGGAAAATAGGAAACCCTAAAATGATAAAGTATGAGCAACCACCAACATTGTAGAAGAGCTTCTTTTCAATTCATAAATGAGAGTGGACATGATTGAAAAGATTTAAATGTGTACAACTCATATCTATATATATATGTATATATATATGAGTGTGAATAATTGATTAATTGTTGCATTCTTCGCTGTTATGAACTGGATTTGAGAGAGAAGTTTTACTAACCATTTTGGTGGCTAGTGTGGTAGCATTTTCATTAAACATGTCTGATCATGTAAGGCTCCAATAAAAGTTGAGACATTCATGCTTTGGCAAGAAAGGGTTGTTTGTGTGTAAAATAATAACTCCTATAGTGAAAATGATTTGTAATCACATAGAAAATGATTTGATACCACATTGATCTTAATTTCACTACATATCATTCTGATATATAAGCTATTTTTTTTATAAAAAAAAAAATAAAATGAAAAGGTAAATTAAATTTTAAAAACATCTTTGGTTGTGGACTAGTGTTAGCCAACAAAAGTTAGCTCTAAAATTTGAACATTCAATCGGGGCGTGTCAAGAAATTCACACATTCACATTGCTTGTATAAAGATTAAAAAGAAATTCACACATTCACATTGCTCGTATAAAGATTTTTTTAACCTTCTATTTTGAAAAGTGAGGATGTATCACTTCACAATAGCCTTTGGTCGTAGTATTGGCAATATCAATGCAGAAGGGTAAAGAGCAAAAAAAAAAATCCCCTTTTATATACCGAATGTGAAAAGAAAAAAAAAATTGGTGTTAAAAAACCTCCTTGGCATTTTTTCAAATTGAGCAAATAAGGATATTTTCTCAATTTGAAGACTACAATACCTATAATGCCTTAAAATAAAAAAAAAAAAAAAACTATATGCACATATTTTATTAAGATATTTTTGAGATTTTGATAAAAAAATAAAAAAAAGATAATACTTAGCTACTCACCGGTGAGTAGCCTCATGTGTTCCAATGACAATATACCATATCAGCTTTAATAACTAAATAATCCACGTTTTCTGTATTATCTCATATCAATCATTAAATAACTTTTTTATTAAAGTTGATGTGGTATGTTGTTATTGAAACAAATGAAGGGTGAGTAAGGTGAGTAGCTAAGCATTATCCATAAAAAAAATGGTCAAATTTTCAAAATGAATTTATATGCACATATTACATAACATAGGTGTTTTTTGAACATTTTTTATATGGTTCTTTTTTTTTTTTTTTTTTTTTTTTTTTTTTTTTTTTTGTTCTTTTCAATATACCAATAAAAAAAAAAATGATAAAGCCCAATCAATCCTCAATCTGCACAAGTCCACTTGTCACAAGGAAGTGGCGGCTCCACCAAGTTGATAGTTTAGTCCAATTAGTCAATTAGTCAACCATCCACATGAAATAAATATGATACTCTTCCGTCCCTTCTTAATAATTTATTTTTTTATTTTTACGTTTCTCAAATTAATTGTCCTCTTTAAAAAGTTAAAGCTTATTTTCTTTATATTTTTATTATTATCCTTTATCTTTTTAAAAAATTTCAAATTTTTTAACTTTATATATTTAAATTAAAAAGAACAATTTGGTAATTTTAAAAGGGGACAATGCATTAATTGCATGTCCCCTTAAAAAGTTATAAAATAAAAAATAGACACTAATAAGGGACAGGGTAGTAATATAACGACGAGGAGAGAGAGAAATAATTAGTAGTCGTCCCAAGCGAACTAATTCACTATAACGAACGAGTGTAAGTATCTTCGTGACGATTTTATAAGTTGCCTTCATGACGACTTTATAAGTTATGGATTCAAGTGGTTTGGAATTACTCTTTACCTGACCTTTGAAGCTTAGTGTTCTCCAACATATCTTCATAATCACCAGCAACACTGATTCATACTAAACAACCAGTTCACGATGATATGCTTCTCCTGTTTATCAAATGTATATCTATGTTTTTTAACAAATGCTTGATTCATATGTTGAAATAGATGAATCCCTTTATTACCGGATCATTCGTAGAGCTAATGTTCTAATCTATATCCTAATTAGTTTGAATTTAAGTTAAAATCATATATCGCTAGTTATAAAATTAGATATAGGATGGTGTATAATACAACTATGCAACCAAATGAATGTAACCATAGACAATTAATATATATAAATTTTAATTGTAGAAAACTAATACTAACATTCATATTTAGTACAATATAATATTCATATATGATTTGTTAAAATAGGGAATTATTGAATCCAAATATTTATCAAATTATTAATTTTATTTATCCAATTCGTATCCTATTAAACGGATCGAATTCCAATTAAGATCATAACCATGCAATTGGGGCCCCTTTCTAACCATGTACTAGTAAAAAATATCTTCAAACGCCAAGTACGTAATGAGATATAACAAAAATAAGACAAAACAAGTCAGAATTCGAATGGATACACTACCCTGTACGACTGTACGTGGATATTGTTTCAAAACCTTCGTACTCAAATCAGATTCCAAGGTTTCGAAAACATAACTTTACTTTTGAAAGTACTTCCAAGACTTTTAAGTTTCCAAAAGGCATAAAGATCAATCAAGTGAATTTATACAATTGAACCAAATTCCAACAGTCGGTTTGATATGGTTGAAGCGAAATAGTTAATACGGAGTATCATTTTTAAAACTTTTTAATTAAAAGAAAATTGTATTAAATGATAGAAGAGCAGTTATATATATTTAATAATTAATAACATAATCAACACATTAAAAGAAACATATAATGTAATATATTGAGATTACATGTACGAACCCAACCCCATTCTCCCATTGGAGGCCTTAAATACTCACATACAAAGCGTAATCAATACATTAAATATATATATATGTGTGTGTGTAAATAATATAATAAGATCACTTGTACGTGGCCTCTTCTCCCGCGAGAGCCTTTAATACACATTAACAAACTATAATCAATATATTAAAATATATATATATATAATACTAGTATAATGAACCTATGCGATGCTTCTCCAGTTCTTCTCCTATTGGGGGGCTTACGGTTCCACATTAAATTGTCTCACTTACCTTGTATCGTCATTGTTATGATATTTCTATGTTACTTCAATTTCCATTTTGAGATTTATCTTCATTGATAAGGTGACCATTAAAGATTCAATGACCAACATGACTCACGTTAAGTTTTTTTCTCACATCCTTTAGTAAAACATAAATTTTGAACGGAATTTGTCAAAATAACATTTATTATTGTACCATGTTATACAACTTGCATGAGCCCAGCCTGAACCTAAATGTATAAATATTATTAGAATAAAAAGTAATCTAAGCCTTATCCTAGCTTAATTAAAGACAAATTAGGCCACTACCGTGGGGTTGGATTGAGTTTACCGATAAATTTGAATTTGAATTTGAATTTAGGGTTTTATAGTCCGGATTGAATTTATACACAGATAAATTTTAATGGAAGAATTCCATTCACCAAACCATATATGGTATACATGCACAGAACTTAAAGCGAGTGTGATATTGAGAGTCGGTGTTGTGCACCAAAACGCTCTACACAATTTTAGTGCATAGTACCACCGTTTCAAAAAGATGCGTGGATGTTGATCGAATCTTATTACATGAAAAGAAAATAGATTACGTGAACTAAGCATATTATTATGTGAGATTACATTTACAGACACACCAACCTATCACCTACATCATTAGGAATCACTGTTTGACCAATTTAATAAGTATCCAAAAGCAGAGGTGTGGCCTGGCCTCAGCTCTCAATTCCGGTCCAACGCGCCAAGCCAACCTTCATTTCTCTATAAAAAAGAAACACACCTCCGCTAGCTTCTCCATTCAAGCAAACACCAACTCCATCACTCCTCTCCCTCCCTCCCACTTTCTCTCTCCTGCTTTCTCTCTCTACACCGCCCCCACCAAAATGGACGTTCGCAGGCGACAATCCAAGTCCCTGGGTCCGTCCAAAACACTCTCCGCCGCCGGACCTCTCAAACCCCACCAGCTGCAGTCCTCTTCCAAAGCCTCCGACGCTCTCCCTCTTCCTCTATACCTCACCAACGGCATATTCTTCACCCTCTTCTTCTCCGTCGCCTACTTCCTCCTCCACCGGTGGCGCGAGAAGATCCGCACCTCCACTCCCCTCCACATCGTCACCCTCTCTGAACTCGCCGCCGTGCTTTCCTTATTCGCCTCCATCATCTACCTTCTGGGTTTCTTCGGCATCGACTTTGTCCAGTCTATTACCAGGGGTTCCGACGTCGACGACGACGAAACCGCCGAGGACTTCATCCTCGAGGAAGAAACCCGACGCGGACCCTGCGCTGCCGCCGACATTGACTGCTCCGCTAACGTTCCGGTTGTTCCTCCGCCGTCCACGACGGCGCCGGTGACGGAGGAGGATGAGGAAATCATCAAATCGGTGGTGGCCGGGTCGACGCCGTCGTACTCGCTGGAATCGAGGCTCGGGAACTGTGACAGGGCGGCGGCGATAAGGCGGGAGGCGGTGCAGAGGATAACGGGGAAGTCGCTGGCGGGGATGCCGGTGGATGGGTTCGATTACGGGTCTATATTGGGGCAGTGCTGTGAGATGCCGGTGGGATATGTTCAGATTCCGGTGGGGATTGCAGGGCCGTTGTTGCTCGACGGGAGGGAGTACTCGGTTCCTATGGCGACGACGGAGGGGTGTCTGGTCGCGAGCACCAACAGAGGCTGCAAAGCCATCTACATCTCCGGCGGCGCCACCAGCGTCGTGCTGAGGGACGGAATGACCAGGGCTCCGGTGGTGAGGTTCGGCACTGCCAAGAGAGCGGCGGACTTGAAGTTCTTCTTGGAGGATCCAATGAACTTCGATACACTATCCGTTTATTTTAATAAGTCAGTAATTTCTTCAAACTTTCATTTTCATATTTGCTTTCTCAGTTTAATTAATTATTCTATAATTTTTTTTATTTATTAAATTTCATTTTTATTCTGTTTGGAACATCAAATTAGTGCATTGGATTTAAAATTAAAAATAAAAATTAGTTTAAAATTTACATTAAATTTTGTCAAATTCCAATTCCAAACTCAGATTTATGCACCCAAATAGAGCACTTGTGTAATTTTTGGTGAGTTTCAATACTTCTACTGTGGTGGTAGGTGAGGAATAATTTATATATATATATATATATAACACGTAGTTGAGCACTTTAGTTTTCTTCCAATTTTGTGTTTGACTTGGTAGATTTTGATTTTTGAGTGTAAATTTATAATTAGACCTACACATATATTATATCTAAATGATATCATTTTGATGTGATGTGCTCCTCAAATTTTTGCCTCTTTGCCGCCATCTTTTATGGCGCGAGTCAAATAATTAGTACTAGTATTTCATCATTCATAGCATTTTGTATTTTGGGTTTTCATATCCTTTTTCCTTTTCTATTTTGTTGTTTGTGAATTTAATAATCATATTATGGGTTGTCAATCTTTCTTATGTCTAAGGAATTATAGTGTTTTTTTTTTTTGTTTTTTTTTTTTTCAAGTCTTTAAGTGGATCCATAGTTTTAAAGCGTCTAAGAACTGAGTAAGAAGTGACATTTTTTTTACTCACAAATTGATTGTGTGGTTGGGGTGGGACACAGATCTAGCAGATTTGCAAGGCTGCAAGGCATTCAATGTGCAATTGCCGGGAAGAATCTATACATGAGGTTTAACTGCAGCACCGGCGATGCAATGGGGATGAACATGATCTCCAAAGGCGTTCAAAATGTCCTCGATTTCCTTCAGAATGATTTCTCCGACATGGACGTCATTGGCATCTCCGGTAACTCTACTCAATTTTCTTATTCAGCTACCCACCTTACTGTAAAATTGTTATTCATGACTTTTGCTATAGTGGATGGCGCTAGAAGGGGGTGGATTAGTATTATTGTAGTTATTAACTAGATTGAATTACTGTAACCATTTTTGACCTTTTTCTTAAAATTTAGTGCAAAACATTCAACATGTCAGTCGTTAAAATCAATTGAGTTGGTAGCATTTGTACCCTTATAAATTTTCAAAAATTATTATATGGTTCTAGAATCATCAGTTCTTACTAATCACTATACAGAGAAACACAAAAAGTAGGCACATTTACTTGCGCATGGACTAGTCATTTGCCCAGGATGGTCGATGTAAATTATGGTTTGAAGTCAATTTCTGCTATTGTTGGTTATTGAATGCTTTGCTTGGTGCATGCCCTGTGTGGTGTGAGGAGAAAATATTGGAAATAAACATGGATTTTACATTATTTTGGAGCTTGCATCCCCATGCTTGGAGGGGAAGAGTATTGGTTATTGAGATGGAATGATTTTAAACTCGTAAAAACGCTTTCATAGCATTAGTTTTTACAGAAAATTTTTGGGGGAAACATTATACTCTTTTAGTAAACTTAACTCTAATCGATTGGGATTTGAATTTCTGTATGCAAATTAAGTGTTATGTGCTTTTATATTTTACTAAATTTGGGGTTCGCAATGTAACAGGAAACTTCTGTTCGGACAAGAAGCCAGCAGCGGTGAACTGGATTGAAGGACGTGGCAAGTCGGTTGTTTGTGAGGCAATTGTCAAGGAAGAGGTGGTGAGGAAAGTCTTGAAGACCAACGTAGCATCTCTGGTGGAGCTGAACATGCTTAAAAACCTTACTGGATCGGCAATGGCTGGCGCTCTCGGTGGATTCAATGCCCATGCCAGCAATATTGTCTCTGCAGTATATATTGCAACCGGGCAGGACCCGGCTCAGAACGTGGAGAGCTCTCACTGCATCACCATGATGGAAGCCATTAACAACGGCAAGGATCTCCACGTCTCTGTCACCATGCCTTCCATTGAGGTACTTAATTTGCTCAACTTTCAATTTATTTTTTTTAAAATACAGATTAGAAGTAAAATAAATGTTTAGGGTTAATTTAGATTAGAAACATACATTGGTCTGTTCTTGGATATAAAATAGAGGGCGATGGATATAATATACATTAATTTGGATTCTTCCTTTGTACATTTAAGAGGGAAAAACATGGAATATGGGCCATCCGACATGTCCAGTTAATTTAAATGTTGTAAAGAATCTATGCCTTCTGGTCTTCTCTGAATAGATCAGATGGTAACAGAAAAATTTATTGTAGAGCTTTGTCTTCTCCAATTAATTTAAACTGTAAAAATGAATCTTTGTTTCTTGTGACCAGGCAATAGAAAAAAAAAATCTATTGCAGAGCTTTGTTTTCTTAGGGCCCATTTCCCTTTTCCCATGAGACCGGTGAATGTGAACCATAATGTCTTGTTTTTTGTTTTTTAAGAAAATAAATTGGGTATAAGTTAATAGTTTTTTTTGGTGTAATAATTTATGAATGGCCAGGTGGGTACGGTTGGAGGTGGCACCCAATTGGCGTCTCAGTCTGCCTGTCTGAACCTACTTGGAGTGAAGGGTGCGAGCAAAGAGTCACCGGGGTCAAACTCAAGGCTCTTGGCCACCATTGTAGCCGGTTCGGTTCTTGCCGGTGAGCTTTCCCTCATGTCTGCTCTTTCAGCGGGGCAGCTGGTGAAGGCCCATATGAAATACAATCGATCACTTAAGGATGTCACCAAGGGATGCTCCTAAAGCCCTAATGGGAACACAAACCTCTCCCACATTCCCGCCACTTTGACTAGATATATAGTAGTAGCCTAAGCCCCCAACAAGGTAGCTTTCACAAAGTAAGTAAAGAAGAAGTTACAAATAAATAAAATTCCCAACAAAAAAGAGTGTGGGAGAGACAGAAAGGGGAAGGGAAAATATGATGGGTTTTAGTGTTTGGCAAGGGAAGGAAAAGGAGAAGTCATGTGGGGGAGGAGATGGGAAAAAAAACAAACCAAAAGCGTGTTTGTGTTTTCTTTAATAAACCAGAGAGTCATGTGAGATTCTGGTGGATCCCTTCCCTAGAAAGAAAGCATAAAGGAGGTCTGCAACTGCTGTGAAGTTTGTGAGGAAGAGTAGGTGGCACTACCTGTATATTTTCTGTCTCCTAATATGCCACTTGTTAGCATGAAGGGGCTGCCAGTATATATATATATATATATGTATTATCTTTTATGTGTAAGGTGGGGAGGGGGTTCTGCATTTCTCTCTTCTTTTAGTTGGTGTTAATGTTCACTTAGTTTGTAATCTAGGAAGAAGACATCTCAAGAAATGGAATCTACTTCTCTTTTAAATACTCTCTTTTTTTTTTCTCTCTCTCTCTCTCTCTCTCACACACACACACACACACACACACACACATATATTGTGAACTGCATTGAAAATGAAATGTTCATGCACACAACTTTTTCCATGGTGTAAATATGTGTATACCTTTTGACTTCTGCTTTGGATGTAGAAATGTCATCTGAAAATGAATTGATTAAAATTAATGTTGGTTTGGCGAACAATCTCAAAGCACATGGTCCACGATATGAGTTTTATGAAAGTGTATATTAAGTGTAGAAATTAAATGAGATGTGCAAACAACAATAATGACCAATTACATCAACAGCGACCAATTTAGCAATGTTGTGGCATGTGGTGTTACTTTTTCATTTTTGTTAAAGCCCACTGTATGTGCTCCCCCTAGAACATTATATATGTATAGGAGAGGACGAGACTCAACGTAACGATAAAATTACTATATGTGCTCCTCTTAGAACATTATATATGTATAGGAGAGGGCGAGACTTAACGTAATGATAAAATTACTTTGTGGTGATTTAGTGATAATTAGTTTAAAATAATAAAAAAATTCTTTTTCATATGTAAAAGTAAAAATGCGCAAATCCAATTCCTACAAAGTGGAGTTCTAGTTAATTTGGTCTGTCATTTTAGTATTTTGACTGGTTGACTCTTATATTCATAGAATATGTTAAATAAGTTTTAATTTTTAAAATTATATCAATGTTTAAAACACTTTTTAGATACAGGAGAGATCACATGGTCAAAGCTGTCTATGTGATCTGCACTGTATTGTGCACATGGGAAGCATCATATTGTGTACGGAAGAGAATTTGAATCCTTAGACACGTGCATAGTCTAAAATCAAGTTGGTTAGTGAATTCCAAAAAAAACAATCATCTGGGTCAATAAAAAGAGAGATTAGAGTGAAGCTCGAGATGACGTAATTTCAAATCATGTAATAATTTTTTAAAAAATACGCATCCGCCTAGAATTTGTACATGTACGAATGTGATTGAACTTTTAATATGCTGCTATTGTCAATGTGGGGTTGTCTCAGCGAACGACCATTATATATATCAAAAAGTACCTACCCTTACCAGTTTGTCACTAATGTTTAAGGCCACATGTCTCTCGCGAAGATACATACATATATATATATATATATATATATATACACACATATTTGTGTACAGCTACTCCCATATACTTTTTATTCAAATACGAAAAGGGTAAAAAGATGGGGGCAATTCAGAGCAATCCTTTTAATTCAACTACCAAAAGGAAAAAGGATAGTGGCAGCTCAGAGCACTCTTCACCTCACCTGTATGTATGTATGTCTGTATATATATATATATATATATATATAATATTTGTGGCGGGGTTTTATAGACTCTCAGCTCTACATGTTTGTAGGAGGCTAACAATATATGCCTATATATATCATGTTATATTACCACTTAATTTACTCTTACCATGCAAATTAACAAGTGGTTGTCAATCCCAAGTCATGCAAGTACATCTTAGCTAGAACACGCAACCAATCATATAAAAAAAAACCACAAATTACAACTATTAGCATAAGCAAAAAAAATATTGTCGTTTGACTGTCGATTACTCAGACTACTCACATAAGTTTGTGCAATTTCTATAAAAATTGATGACATTCGACTATTCAAAGAGCAAACTGTAAAGAGTAGTCGACTATCATTAATTATATATATATTTTTTAATGTTAAACTATAAAAGATAATTGTTTAAAAAAAGAAATGATATGCATACACTAAGTAGAAGAAGAAAAAGAAAAAATTGTAGGAAGTAAAAAATAATAACAATAATAATAATAATAAAGGCTAATATTAGGAGTAGTAAGAGGCATAGATGGGGTACCATCCCGTGAATTAAGGGGTTGAAGGGTTGGGTGGTGGTTTTAATTAAGGGGTTGGTGAGAGAGACTAGACTATGGTCCTTATTACATCAACAAAAGTTGGCTATTAATGAAAAAGTGTAACATCATATTAATTAAAACCCAAATATCAAAAGCTATATATGGTGGGTACACCTGCTCTCATATTCATGCATCCCATCTTCACTTGGACCAGTCAGTCCCTAAAAGAAAGGGCAGGGGGATTAATATCTAAGTTTAAATAAAGAAAAAAAATCGCCGTCTGTGGGAATCGAACCCACGACCACGTGGTTAAAAGCCACGCGCTCTACCAGCTGAGCTAAGACGGCTTGCTGATTAATTATACTCATTTACAATTTTACTTTTATTTTATAAAACAATAGGCTGCTTCACCAAGGTCCAAGGAAATTGTAGACAATCTTTAAAACACACAGTTTTTGTATCAAAATGACATTACATGCAAAACTATATGTTTTTTTATATTTTAAATTCTTTTTAATATAATTTGACATTAATTCTAATGAATCAACTTTCACACACACACAAATATATATATATATATATCACCAAGGTCCAAGGAAATTGTAGATAATCTTTAAAACACACAGTTGTTGTATCAAAATGACATTACATGCAAAACTATATGTTTTTTTATATTTTAAATTCTTTTTAATATAATTTTGACATTAATTCTAATGAATCAACTTTCACACAACACAAATATATATATATATATATATATATATATATATCGCTCTCTACACCGCCCACACAGTTATTTGAAAACTGTTTTATCAAAATTCTCAAAGAAATTAAACAATTTTTCCAGCTTTAAATTCTCAAAGAAACTAAGAAACAAAAAAATAAAATAAATAATGAAATCTTATCATTTGATTAACAATTTTGTGAAAACTGTCTTTAAAAAAAAAAAAAAAAAAAAAAAAAAAACAAAACCTAAATTGCTAGTGTTGCTGTTTTCAATAAAAATAAAAATAAAATAAAATAAAACGAAAAGCTCCCCACTACACAAATTTGGTGTAGGGTAAGGGGAGATTATTTACTGGGATGGTTATGTATAAGTGGTCGGGCTTCGTTGAAAGATCTAATTTAATTGGATGAAAAAGTCAGATCATGTTTTTCAGGATATCTTGTGGGCTTGTGTAAGAGAATCGGGCCCAGTGTTTCAAAGTTCACGCATTCACATCATTTGAACACCCAAAGTTTTGGGCCATTAAGTGGTGGACATAATGTGCGTATGTTGAGAAACAAATACATGTCTCCAGCCTATTTGATACAGTGTTCAGCTTGGATACTCTCTTGAGTGCTCTCGTAAAGCTCTGTTTCCCATTATTGTATCCGGACTATTTAATTTTTTTTCTCCTTTTCACATAAATTGATTGGCATTAATAAATGAACACAATACTAAGAATAGTGACACTCCCTTCACATAATGGAAAAGTAAGTTTAATATTACCCTTGTCCCGAACGAATTAATAGTACATTATTTCATTTTAGTATGTTTTAAATTAGGCTCCGTTTGGTAACGGGAACGTTTTTTGTTTTATGTTGTGAATCTCTAAAAAGGTAAAAAAAAAAAAAAAAAAAAAAAAAAAAACATGTTTAATAATATGTTTTTGCTTTTTTGTAACAGAAAACGTTTTATATTTTTGTAAAGAAAGGAAATAAAAAAGGTGTTTCTTATGTTTTCAACACTGTTAAACAAAAACATTTTCACTATTATTATTACATATACACTATTCATTTCAAATAAAATGTATGTTATTCATGTTATATATACTAATGCTACATATTAAATACTAATAAAAATTATATTTTAATATATAATTATATTATATTATATATTAGTGTAAATTATTTTTTATTTAACAAAAATATATATTTAAAATATACTATATTTTATAATAGTGTAAATTATTTTTTGAGACAAAAAAATGATTTATTATACATTTATTATTTATTTAATATAGTATTATTAAATTATTATGCAACAGATATAATATATTATTATATACCATATCTATATTATATTTTAGTTATATTATTTAATATTTTTTACTTATTATAATATAATATATGCTAAATATATTATAGATTTTATAATAAATGTATTGATGATGCATATACATGCACTTGTATACATAATTGGTTAGTATTTTTGTCCTAATGTATCTTATTTGTACTTATGAATTGAGTATTATTAGGATTTGTAATTTTAAATTGAATATTACATTTTATTATATTGTATTGGGTATTTTTAATATTTGTGAAATAATTGAATTGCATACATATTTAAGGTTTTTTTGTATTAATGAAAAAATATTTAAAAAATGTTATGTACATCTATAATAAATATGTATCGTTAAACATTGTTATTGTTTATTGCTTTCAAAATTGTGATGACAAGTCGACAACAAGTATTAATAAACGGTATTGTCACTTAAGAAAACAAAATTATGTTTATGTTTTCTCGAGGGTAACAAAATAGAAAACAAAAACGTTACTAAATGCACCATTAATTGTCTTTGACGAGTCAAAGCAAAAAAATATTATTTTTTCATAATTACCTTTGAATTTTTAAATATCTCTCACTTAATAATATACACTTTTAAACTTAAAAGGATAGAATGATAATTTTAAAAGGGAGCAATGTATTAATTATAAGTTCTGCTATTTAGAGCATCTCCAATCATTGTGTATATATTTTTGTGTATATATGATGTGTCAGAGTAGATTTACACAAAAAAAAATAATAATAAAATCAAAAATTGTACTACCTATTTTTAGCTTAAATAGTTGTTTTATACCTTTTGTGTAAAAAAATATTCGCCAATAACAACCAACTATGTGTCATACCCTATGCCTTACATAACTTTTACAAATGTACTTGATTTACTTTACTTTTTCGCGATTAAACCTCACATCCCAACCCTCCTCAATTAGAAAAAAATAATAAATTTTCCCTGTATTTCACTTTCCCATCCCGCCAATAGCAAACCTTTCCCGCCGCCACCAGAATTCTGACTTGATAACAAATAATAAAATACAATTCTAAGTATGTAGAAACTACAAAACTAAAAATATGC